ACAGCAGGAAGCGCGCGTTTGCTTTGTGGAGGTAATGATGAAAATTTTCGATGTTGTTTGCGACTGATTTGTACAAAATGGTAACAAGTCTCTCAAAGTGTTCATGTTGGCTCAATATAGTACAGTTTTGTCGGGTTTTGCCCACGTAGAGCCAGTTAAGCAAGTGCGTGTCGTATGTTTTAAGCAGTCAAGTTACGTAAGTCATCAGTCCACTCCAGGCTCCTTCGTCCTCGCAATCATTTGGTACGATTTCATTTCGGTGTGACTTGTCATGAAATTGAACTCGTAAAAATGAAACTACACGTTCATGCATCATTTTTTAGAGGCTTCACCTATGAAAATTAATAAATAAACGGTCTTCTTTGCACGATAAATTAATTTGTACAATATTTATACATTATATTAATGTTCTTTCGTTACAATTCTCGTTTTTCAACAAAAGTCGAGTTATCAATTTGAAAGCGCACGAAAAAAAATTTAAACGTCTGTTGCGAAATTTTTACACGCAATGATAAAGTAAATAACCTCTAAAAAATTAGGTGCAGAGGTAACAAATAACAGCAACATATTATTTTACATAAAAAAATCTGCTATCAAATGAAACTTTTTGACTAACAAAAAGAACTAACACTTGACTCAAACAGATGGCCGCAGTGAAGCAGCAGCCGGTGCAAGGGTCTGGGAATGTTTCACCACCTGGCGCTATTTGTGCGGCAGGTGGCAAGGTGCCAGCTGTGCTCATTCCGTGTGCTTGGCAGCTGAGCCCGTTACTGCTTGCAACAGACTACAGCTGCACCAACTGACTGCATGCAGTTAGTCACCAACTGACTGCATGCAGTTANTTTTTTCAAAATTATTTATTCTATTAATTGATTCATGCATTGCCTCTGACTTCACACAAGTGTGCAAAATTTCAGATCAATCAGACAGGTAAAAGTGTGTCAGATATCAGTTATAAGATTTGTAGCTGACAAAATTATTTTTTCAATTTTTTAAACTTGAAAAAAATTTTTTTTTTTATTTTAAAATCTTTTATTTTGACATTTGATTCATGCATTGTCTCCAACTTTACACAAGTGTGCCAAATTTCAGATCGATAGGATAAGTAGACGTGTATTAAATTTTGATTACAAGATTTGTAGCAGACAGACAGACAGACAGACAGACAAACAAGAAGTGAAGTTAAAGAGAAGTGTTGTAAAAAATAAGATAAAATTACTCCTCATGATGATTTGAATTCATGCTTAATCTTTTATATCAATGATAATGGCTTGTGATTTAGTGAGGGGGTAATGAATTGCTAGATTGCGTGATGACATGAATCAAGTCGTGATGAATTGGTCGATTTTGTTATGACATAGTCAAATCGTGGCGATGCCAACAATTCTCATCAACTTGAGACAGCGCCTGGTGACAGAAGTCCACGGCCTCTCATTCAAGTTAAGTAAATTTATTTCTTCATTTATCACATTATTGCGAGATATATGACATCGCAGACACCGCGAGTATAAAAGTAATCATATTTTAGCTCAGTCGCGTTGGTATGCCTGAATCCAAATGTTTGCAACATGCAGAGAACTCTTCGTGCTTGAAGTGTACAGGGCATTTAATGGTGGTAAGTGTAGCCCATTGTCAATACATGCTTGTTACTGTATGCAAGATAGCGTATAACTCCTCCAGAATAACCTGAAATGTGAATGCTGAGCATGTTTCTTGTTATTAATATATCAATCCTTTTAGATTCTATCTTTCCCTTTAAGACTTCTCTGCTCAGCAACTTTGCTTTAAGTTAGTTTAATTTTGATTCTTCTCATTTCCTCTTTAATTTTGTGCTTTTAACTCTAGCTCTTGAGTCATGTAGTATCTCCTGAAATGCGTCCTATACCTCCATTGCCAAGCATGGGTCAGAAAACAAAGTATATACATAGTTAAAAGAAAAAACATTGATTAAGTATTAAAAATTTAGCTCACATTGTTCCTTTACTATAGCTCGTTCTCCTTAGGAATGCGGTAAAAATTTTCAGGCACTGAAATTCAACGGGTTTAGTTGCCTGGATCACTACTTAGGTAGCGATGAAATTTCCCTATGCGTCGTCGCAGTCTCATTATAGGCACAATAATTAAATTACTTACTTAGTAAACAAAGTAATTACTTACTTAGTAAACAAAGTAATTACTTACTTAGTAATTACATAGTACTTAATTACTTACTTAGTAAAGAAAGCTCTATTCAAACAACTTAACAACGACAAGTAAACGTACGATTTACTAAGCTATATTTGAGACGTAGTACAATGAGCCCTTGAAAGACAACTAAACTGAAGAAGTTCATCGACATCGTAAACTCTCGGTAATTATTCTGGTTGTTGGGCCCCGCAAGATTAGCAGCTTCGCTTGGAATTATATCAACAGGGAAGTCCTGAACATTGAATTGTGATGGTCGTGCACAATATTGTCCTGCAACCATGGTTTAGCTATTGGTTTAACCATGCCAGCACCCAGGTATAATTTAACTAAATAGTTAAACCTTGCCAGCATGCCTAAATTAACCAAGCCTGCATCACAGTTTAACAAAAAATAATAATTTTTATTAAGCCACAAGCCATGGTTTAACTAATCAAGTGATTAAGTTAAATAAAAAGAATGAAATTAGTCGAATAATTAACTAATTAAAAAAATGTTGATGAGAAGAAAAAGATGAAAACAACCGTCAGTCGTCGATAAAGTATTGCACGATAAAACTTGTAAGTTCCTCGAAAGCTGAAGTGCATGGCCGGAATCTTGAAATCAACGACAGTTATTAGGTAAAACAAACGAAGATTGTTTTAGATGTTAGTTCGTATTATACATTAGTGTATATTTTATTTATTGCTATACAAAAAGGTATTTTGCTTGCAAAAGATTTCTTAAGCCACATAAAACCGAGAATGCAGCAAAACAAGTCAAGCTAAGTGTTCTGATATGTAAAGATAGATTTCCCGATCAAGGTCACTCCAATATTTGGATAGAGAGAGCTAACTCCAGCACAGGTTTGTTGGCCCAGCCACGCCAGGGTATCAGAGGGTATCAGGACGCGCCAGGGTATCAGCTTACGACGATTCATCGTCAATGTATTGTAATGCAAATGCGCCTGAGCAAAACAGTCCCAAAACAACGGCAGTGCCAGACTTGGCTTCTATAAATCCTGGCGCGCCGACAAGCTCCTGCCATTTCGGGAGCGCTCAGCGACAGCAGCAGCGCGTGCTTCCGGTGTTGCGGGTAGGGTACATTTGTCCTGTTGTGGTGGGAGTGGTCTTTGGGGCAGTGGTCTTTGGGGCAGTGGTCTTTGGGGCAGTGGTCTTTGTGGCAGTGATCTTTGTGGCAGTGATCTTTGGGGCGGTGGTCTTTGGGGCAGGGGTTTTTGGGGCAGTGGTCTTTGGGGCAGTGGTCTTTGGGGCAGTAGTTTTTGGGGCAGTGGTCTTTGGGGCAGTGGTCTTTGGGGCAGTGGTCTTTGGGGCAGTGGTCTTTGGGGCAGTAGTCTTCGGGGCACTGGCTTTTGGGGAATTTGTCTTTGGGGCAGTGGTCTTTGGTGCAGTGATCTTTGGGGCAGTGGTCTTGGAGCAGTGGTCTTTGGACAGTGGTCTTTGGACAGTGATCTTTGGGGCAGTGGTCTTTGGGGCAGTGGTCTTTGGTGCGTACGCTGTGGTCTTAGGCAGTGGTCTTTGATGCGTCTTTGCGGCAGTGGTCTTAGGGGCAGTGATCTTTGGGGCATTGGCCTTTGAGGCATTGCTCTTTGGGGCAGTGGTCTTTGGGGCAGTGGTCTTTCGGGCAGTGGTCTTTGGGGCAGTGGTCTCTGGGGCAGTGGTCTTTGGGGCAGTGGTCTTTGGGGCACTGGTCTTTGGGACAGTGGTTTTTGGGGCAGTGGTCATTGGTGCAGCGGGCTTTACGGCAGTGGTCTTTGGAGCAGTTGTCTTTGGTCTTTGGGGCAGTGGTCTTTGGGGCAATGTTCTTTGGGGCAGTGGTATTTGGGGCAGTAGTCTTTGGGACGGTAGTCTTTGGTGCAGTGGTCTTTGGGGATTGTTTTTTCGTAAAGTGGTCGTTGGATGAGTGTCTTTTGTAAATTTTTCATGAGGTCGTTGGTGAAGTACTCGTATTCGTGTTGTGTGGTTAGGAATGCCGAATGCGACACCAGTACCCATAAATGCAACACGTCCGAATTAAAAGCTTTAATGAATTCAACACAGCTCATTACTGAAAAATTGTAGAAGTCTTCCTCGTAGAATCTGTAATGATTAGTAGTCACAAACATTTTTTTCAATGAATCAAAAATCAATTTAATTTATACGCAATTTCGAAACACCTGGCTACCCTGATTTTGTACTTATACTCTATCTCGCAACATAATGTTGGGCAATTGGTTCTTCTGTGCCATTGACAGAGCTCAGCGAGCACTGCCAGAGTTTCAATACTTCGGCCATGCAACTTCATATGTTAAGTGCCATAAATCCTTACAATGCCCATGTAATATTCGAATACTTCTGCCACTGCCACATGCAGTGCTTGAGAGCTTCTGCCACTGCCACATGCAGTGCTTGAAAGCTTCTGCATACTTCTGCTACTTTCACATACAGTTCTTAAACACTAATTTCACCTCCACATACAGAAAAGTTCTGCTGATTTCACCTATATTTACTTTTCAAACACTTATGCCACTTTAATCCGTTTCGTTTTTATAATCCTAGATGGGGCTAGAAAATTTTTAGGTGCTTCATTTGTTCGGGAATTTGATAACCTTTATGCTTATTAAGATAAAATTGTGTTCAAGCTTAGATTTCTAATGCATAGCTTGACGTAACGTCGAATAATCCAACAGTTGCATAAAATTTTATGTTCCTATCTCGTACACGGAAAAAAATTACAATGACAAAGTAAAAATATATTATGGTTTTATAATAAAAAACACTTTAAAAAATGAGAAATTCCATAACTCTACACATAAAAAATCTTGGAAAATAACTGACCTGAAGAGGACGAGCTCATGTCGCCTGGTCGCCCCTGCGCTCAGCTGCTGAGACGCGATCCTCGCTCGGGTCCCGTAACATATCGGGACTTGCTACTTCATCTCTGCAGTTGTGCGTGTCTTTACGATCAGGAACTTGAGTTAGAGTGTTGCGTCCTGCCAGCAACTTAAGTTAGAGTGTTGTGCTTAACTAGCAACTTGAGTTAGAGTGTTGCGCTTAACTAGCAACTTGAGTTAGAGTGTTGCGCTTAACTAGCAACTTGAGTTAGAGTGTTGCGCTTAAATAGCAACTTGAGTTAGAGTGTTGCGTCTAACTAGCAACTTGAGTTAGAGTGTTGCGTCCTGCCAGCAACTTGAGTTAGAGTGTTGCGATCTGCCAGCAACTTGAGTTAGAGTGCTGCGTCTTACTAGCAACTTGAGTTAGAGCGTTGCGTCCTGCCAGCAACTTGAGTTAGAGCGTTGCGTCTTACTAGCAACTTGAATGTGCGTGCTGATGATACCGTTAACTCGAGTGTACGACACCTGCTGATCAAACCATTAACTGATGTTTTGCGTTACACGTACAACAGTAACCGTTAATAGAGAGGCGTGGTCCAAACATGACTAAATAAATTTATCACTTTAATGCCACTCCTCGCCCAATGCTGGTTTAAATTTCAGTGATAAAATGCTACACCTTTCTACCCCGGCCGTTAGTTCTAAGTGCGAGCTCCTACTAACTCTGCGAATTCATACTATATTTAATGATTTCTGTTACTTTTCTGAACAAATGAGAATGATATGATTATTTCGTGTAAAAAATTATTTCACAAGATATTAAAAGTGTTAACCGAAATGTTACCTTCAGAGATCACTTAAAAATACTGGCAAAGAAACCCAATGAAGTACGATGAGGCTATAATAATGGCACATCTGCGGATCGTAGCCTACCGGCTACAGGCAAACCCCGACTAATATTTCAAAGGACACCTCATATTTTTATTACGAATGAAGATAATCAGAAACTAAATGCTTGTCATAATCATATTATATCAGTGATTATTCTTACCGGCATCTAAAATCAAGAATTATGAGGCAATGAATGCGGTTCACTTGTCGGTTCTAAGCGTGAAGAGCCGCCAAGAGAACTGCAACTAATCAAAGAGATCAAATTCAGAACTGGCAAAAATACGTCAAGAAACACTAAATTTCGCAATAAATATTTCAAACAAAAGAAGCCGAAATTTTCATATTTAATCAAGTAGAAACAGTATAAAAAAAACTTATTTTCATGTTCTAATACAATATGAATTTCTCAATCCATTTAAACTCAATAGTCATACGAAACTATTTACGGTCAACGTAGTACTTGGAAATAATGGCGGGACGATCCCGCTATCATTTCCAAGAATCGCCTGCACTCATGTGTGCATATATATACATTTAAATATATTGTCCCCTTAAGCACAGCCGGGCGAAAACATCTCGAGTAACCGAAGACTGAAAGATAAGTCAACCTCGAGTCTCGACACCTCGCAGACACAAGCTAGGAGGTCGGGAAATAAGTAGCCTCAGCTCGAACATTACTGGAACCCACGAAGTCACTACTTCAAACATCGTTACTTCAAAACGAGTTAATAGTTGCATCTTGAACAATGCATGATGCAGTACATATAATAAAAACTGTATACTATAAAATAGTAATTTAATTTTATGTATAATTTTGAAAATGTCACAATGTATTTGTCAAATACAACTTGAGAATGTAAAGAAAGTTGCACTTACGACCGTCGGACCACATGACCATCTCCGTAAAAACCATCAGCCGACCGCTGGTCTTTCAAAGCAGCCAGTAAAGTTAATCTACAAAGGTTTTAACTTAACAGCGATCGTATGCAATTTCCACGGCAATAGCGAGTTCGCTTTCAATCGTAGCTTTAATGGTGATCGTGAGTTCTATTGTGATTGTAATATCTTAGATGATGGTACAATTCTCTGTAATCGTATGTTCGCCAGCGGCCGTAATTTCATAGGCGATCGAAAGTTTTTTTTTTTTTAGATCTTAAGTCTAATGGTGATCATATGTTCGATGACGATCGAGGGTTATGTAATGTGGAAGGTATCCGGTGACCATAGCCTTGTAACTTCATTCAAATTACTTCTTTATTCTTTTTTATTTTATGAGTTTATAAGTTTTTAAATGTTATACAATTTTGCGAGGTATGACGGTAGTGCCTTGTGTTGCAAAATCTGCCAGCACTGCAGACTAACGGAAAGTATTCTAGTATAATATATGACATTCAAGAAATAAAAGCATAAAACATATACCAAAGTATTTATATACCAAAATATGTCGCAGCACGCATCAATACTTTCCATTCCCAAGCCAATGAGTTTTTAAATTATCCCATAATTCAATAATATTCGTGTATTACAACGGTGTTTGATATTTCACATTATTTACGTACTCCAAAGTATTGACTAGTCTGCCAGTTATTCATGCCAGATCACGCGAGAACTGATAATTCGAATTATTCCTACGCATTTCAGAAGTCTGCACTAGTACTGACTCGGTAATACTTACCAGTACCACAAACACAAAGTACCACCACCAGTACCTGCCAGTACCACCAAGTACCCTCACCAGTATCTGTCAGTATCAAGTACAACCACCAATACCTGCCAGTACCACTAAGCACAACCACCAGTACCTGCTAGTACCATCACCAGTACCTGCCAGTACCAACAGGTACCATCACCAGTGCCACCAAGTACCACCACCAATACCACCAGCACCACCAAGTATTCGGCAGCGTCTCAGGACTGTTGAGCACCGTTGAAATTCCCAGCCACACATGAGCCGGCTGGGAGCTCAGACAATTGCCATGATTCCCAAGCGTACTTGAAATTCCTGAGCACAGTTAGAGACATCAGAATTCCTAGGGTGGCTAAAATTCCAGAGAACAGCTGAAACAATTATTGAATGCACTTGCGCTCTGCCCTTCACCGAGGAAAATGTGACGGATACGACGCAAAATCTTGTATCTAATTGGCATTGTGAAGAAAGCTTTACATGTTCGCAAGAGGAAGACAAACTAATCTTAGCTGCTGTCACTGCTAGTTGATAAACAAACCAAACCCTGACACGGCACATCGAAACACGTTAGGGACGAGAGCCGCGGTGAAACTGAGCGGTCTCATGCCCGGAGTAGTACGCACGATCCTAGTACCCATCCCTCCTTCCCAGCCCCATCCCTTATCCCCAGCCTCCTATGCTCCCAGTCGGTCCGCTCAACCCCCACTTCCCCAACTATCAGGCCAGACAGCATGACTCCAGTAGTACGCACGCTAACAGACGAGTACGCCGGCAGGCTGGCTCAACGCTGTGCAGCATGGCCGCATTCTTAGCGTAAAGGGAGATGAAGTAGCGCTGACCTCAGTCTCGTAGTTCCTACGTACGTGAGAGATGAAGCAACGCTGACCTCTGTCTCGTAGTTCCTACGTACGTGAGAGATGAAGCAACGCTGACCTCTGTCTCGTAGTTCCTACGTACGCGGGAGATGAAGTAGCGCTGACCTCAGTCTCGTAGTTCCTACGTACGTGGGAGATGAAGCAACGCTGACCTGAGTCTCGTAGTTCCTACGTACGTGTGAGAGATGAAGTTCCAGAGTCAGAATTAAGAAATAAGAAACTTGAGTGTGGAGTGAACTGTGACATTCTGAGCTCTCCTGTCGGATGTGAGAAATGGAGGTTAACCGAATGTTCCTTCGCATATGAAATTTAAAATTGTACGATTTTAAAATAAAACTGCAATGACACATTCTTTAAATTGATATACGGCAGCACATTTGTTTCTTTCTATAACGGTGAGATTTTCAAGACTTGAACATGTCACACAACAATTTTTTATTCGTTGAAAATGATGGATGGCTCACAGCTGAACCTGATGCTATCGCAATTTCTGGAACTCGCCTGCGCTGCTCCAACAAATTTAGGAACCATCATTCCCGTTCGGCCGTCTGCTTCTCAAGGACTTTTACGATACTCCCCACCTGCTCCCTCTGCCTCATCGTGCTTCCCACTTCTTCCTCTCCCCCTTCCGTCTGGCCTCTTCGTGACTCCCCTTGCCTCTCCCTGCCTTTTTGTGCCTCTCTGCGTCACCCTCTGCCTCCCGTACCTTTCCATGCACCTCATCTCCCTTCCCCTTGAGGCCCTTCTCCCTCCCTCTTCATGCCCTTGTCCACTACCCACCCCATTGCATAGCTCCGCCTTTCCCCACATTTTACTCTGTCTCTCTCCCTGTCTACTTGCCTCTCCCTGTCTGCCCCTGTCTCTCCCCGTCTGCCCCATACCTCCTCGACTAATCTTGTGTCCCCGTAGCAATAGTAAAAATGGCGTCACTGCAGGTTACAACACTGTCTGGTGGCCACTGTTGCATCAACATGTCCTGGCACAACACGAGTGATGGCAACACTGCTGATTACAGGCTACACTGATGAACAAACACTTGTAAAGCAAGCACTGATGAAGGAAACAGTGATGAAGGAAACCCTGATGATACTTAAACTGCTTATAGCAATTTGATTGGTGACAACACGACTGATAGCAGCACTGCGGATGGCAACTTGATTGACGACAACACGACTGATAGCAGCACTGCGGATGGCAACTTGATTGACGACAACACAACTGATAGCAGCACTGCTGATGGCAACTTGATTGACGACAACACGACTGATAGCAGCACGGCGGATGGCAACAATGTCTTGTTCGTCGCCGGGGCTCACATGGATGTGCATTCCTAAATGCATGCCCGGAGTCGAAAAGATAAACAATACGAGGAATATTATTATAGAATGTTTCTGTTCATCCCTCAAAAATTGTTACCAGACAGTATAGATGGTACAGATGGTAAAGTATCGTGTATAGATTACCGGACACGGCATGTTATTACATTTGGCACCGCTTAATTGGAATCTTCATGATGACGGTAAAAGATGCACTTTTTCAGGGAAAAGGTTAATTCTTAACATTATTTAACAACTCCAACACTCACGGATAGAACGTGTATATAGGTATATGTATAATTATAGGTATATAATGTGCCGATTATTTGTGTAACATAGGCAATGAATGCGTGACCTATGTTAGAAATTCGAAAATCGTTCATTTATTGTTTGAGAAAGCGTATTCACTTTTTTTTAAACAGAATTTTTTCTGCACAAACGTGTGAAAAATTTCGTTAACGACTGATGCTTAGAACCTCGAACGAAAGGACAACGTATACATACTACACAAGTTAAAGGATGATCAATACGTTTGATACCCTCCCGGTGATTCTACACTGATCTCTCCGACATGTTCAATCTTCCTACACGACCAACGAGTCTTCCTATACATGTGTCCCTATCCTGTATGACCTCTTACGAGTCTTCCAACTTGTTCACCTCTCCTTCACGTCCTCCTACGAGTCTCTCTCGTTTCCACCTCTCATATATGGCCTCCTAGGAGTCTTCTTACTTGTCCTCCTCTCCAACACGTCCTCCTACGTGTCTTCCTCCATGTGTACCTCTCCTACTCGTCCTCCTGCGAGCCTCCCTACTTTTCCACTCCTTTCATGCAAGTCCTCCTTCCTGTTTGGGTTGACAGACTTGGACAGCAGTCAATTACGACTGGCAGATGTGGTTGACGGGTTTCTAGGTTAACAGACATCTGAGAAGCAGAACCTAAGAAATACCGGCACCAATAACAGGTGTCTTGATTG